GTGTCCCTTGGTCCGGCCCCTGGCTCCCTGTAAGACACCAATTGTCATGCAATAGAGGCAGCCCCGTTCTTGGATGCCGCTTGGCCGTTGTCCGTCTGGATGCCCGCGTAGGGCGTTTGTCTGGACCGGAGCTTCGGAAGCTGGGAACTGGCAGGAGTTCAGAAGCTCGTGAATTCGCAGGTTCTTTAGTGTAGTCACTGTGGGTTCTACCAGGCAGTAGAATCCTGAATGGATGTTGCAGTTTCTTAAACGAACGTTAGCCCCGTTTTTTTCTGGTACCCTCTCCCCACCCGTTTGTATCCGGCACTTGTCCTCTTATCTGGGAGATGCCCTAAAATTAATTTTCCCAATTAAATTTTAGAAAGATGATTAGATTCCCACTGTGCACCAACGTTGTAAGGTTTGCACAGCTAAACGGAGCGTTTAGTTCTGGTCCCAGGGCACCAGACCGCGTCAGTTCCTGAACCAGGATTAATGAAAGCTTCAGGTTGAGTTTGGAGTTTCGGGAGTTCGCCTCTAAGTCTCATGATTTTAGAACGGGAAGTCTTTCAAGATCATCTCCTCCCAAACCTCATTTTACAGAGATGAAACTGAGTCCTAGGGAAGTCGGATGGCTTCCTTGAGGTCACCCAGAGTTATTTAGCAGTTTTCCCATTTTCGGATGGTGCTGTCTTCCATGATAACCTGCTCCTTCTGAGAGGTGTGCCAGCATACCAGAGAAAGTTCCAGACATGTGTCCATGTAATAAGATGGATAGGAATTTTGGGATTTTCTGAGATAAAATATATCTTCGTAATTTGTTTCTTTTATTTGCAGCTAGACTTTGGGCTCCTTGAGGATATTCAGTTTCGTACTTTTGAATATCCTCTCATCATATTCAGCATAAAATAACATTTCTTAATGATTATCCTCGGCGGGACAGGTAGGCTCATTAGATCTGTTTTTCTTCCTCAGTTTTAAATATGGGAGTAAAGAGTCACAGAGGACTCCAAATACAAGTGTGTTTTCAGAAAAATCCTCGCAGGCTGGCACTAGAGTGTGATTATGTACTTGGCAGGAGGGTTCCTTGACCTGGATTAGGCTTGAGCCTTTAACTTACAGATACCATACTATTTGAGGCTGAAGATTTCAGCTTCTTTAGCCAGAGTACTTGGCATCTCTGCCCGTTGAACACAGGTCTCCGAAATTGCAGTGTCCACAGTTAGAAGATAGGAACTGAATAACGTTTCCTTTGAAGCTAGCTTTTGAGGAGTACACCATAATTTGAGCTACAGTAGCATTTTTTTCCACTTCTATTTTTGTTTTCCCAGAGCTAATATCTTGACGTGTGACCATTTTAATTTGGCTCTTAGTAGAAGTTGTTCAGGAGAAAATGATTCAAGTACAAATTCTATTCTGACTCAGCTACTAGAATAATTGAGTCCTAAAGTTTTATTTCTGGAAAGGACTCAGGTCATCTAGCCCATTGCAGAGGCCCAGCGATACAGAGGGGAAGGGAGTCCTCCACCCTCTGTCCAGGACTCTTTCTCTCATTCCTCTGGGGCTTTCTTTGCCTTTTCTTGTTGTCTTATTACCTCCCTGCCCTTGTGTATTTAAGTGTCATCTTTTGATTTCTGTGTACATGACCTGCTGTGGTCTCTTTCTGTCCTTAGAATGTGGTATAATGTATCAATCGGAGTTTTTTCTGTATTGTGGTTATTTATCGTATATGTTTATGTTTTGCAGGTGTGAGAGGATCACTATTGTATTACAATCATGGTGCAAAAATACCAGTCACCAGTGAGGGTGTATAAACACCCCTTTGAATTAATTATGGCTGTAAGTACCTTACATTTCAATTTACTCTTTGACTTCTTACTTTGTAAGTACAATATTAGACTTTGATGATCGGTTAACTTAATGTTACTGTTTGTCTCCGTTGCTTCACTTTAATTGTTCTGCTTTTATGCTTGTGAGCTGCATCTAGAGTTTGTAAAATGTTTTTAAAACTTGAGCCTCTGAAAGTGAAAAATCTGTGCATTTAAAAAAAAAATGTACTTCCGGGTAATGTGTGAATTTGAATTCTTTTGAAAACACAAGAAGTGAGATTCTGACTAAATACTTCTTCCTCTGGATTTTGCTCTTTTTTTTTCTTTGTTTATTAAAGAAGAAAAGGGATATGGAGTGTGGTTTCTTCCTGCTGCTGCTTGTTTGGAAGAGTGCTTTGGTTAGGGGTGGGTTCACTTTGTGCAGTCTTAGAACTGAACACTAAAGGATGTAATTTTACTTATTCAAACAGCTCTATTGAGTTTTTCCCCCTAATCACAAATCCATGAGTCAAATTAGAATTCCACAATTGGGGTAACTAAAGTCTTAATTTTCTTTGTTATTTACTTAAAGAGTTTGGCTGAAAATAAGCATTTTACTAGATGCAAAACAAACCTTTTTCAATCATTTTTAGATTACTGTAGGGTATGCCTTCTCTTCCCTTCTTTTTTGTGTTATTGTTAAGATATAATATACATACATAGTACATACAGGAAAATGCATTTATCATGAGCATACACCTGCTCAGTATGTCAAACTGAACACACTTGGCACCAAGATCAAGAAGCAGAACATAAGCAGCCCAGTAAGAAGTTCTACCCCTTTCAAAGTTAGCTACCATCTTGACTTCTAACATCATAAGGGACTGTTGCCTGTTTCTGTTACTTATATAAATAGAACTCAGATGTTTTAACATCTCTCTGCTTCTGCTCAGCATTATGGTTGTAAGATTTAACTAGACCAATACAGTTGTGAAAAACAACAAAAATCAGGTCCTCTCAAGGGAATAATTTAGAGTAGGGGAGATTTTTGGGGTGTGTGTGTGCTCGCGTGAGTGTGTACAGTGTGTTTAATTGAGGTATAATTTACATAGAGTGAAATGATCACTTGTCAGGTGTATAGTTTGATTCGTTTTAGCAAGAGTCATCCATATCATCTCTGCCTAGACTCAGAACATTTGCATCCATTACCCCAGAAAGTTCCCTTGTACCCCTTCTCTGTCAGGTGTGAGGCTTTTGTTTGTGGTGTGGGTGTTTCTTTAAAAAGCCCTATGTTTCCCTTAAATATGTGTAACTAGGACTGTTCAGTAGTTTGTTATTGACTTACCAGAAAGGCTGTTTCCTATTTGCATGTTTTCTGTGCTGTTTTGGCTTTTGGTTGTATAGAGCAAATACTCACTCCAGCCAACTTGAGGAGTTTTGTTAGTGGAACATGAATGGTGTGATAGAAATCTCCTAGAAGTTCAGGAATTCAAGCTAGGACGGGCTGAGCTCCAAGAGTCTGACATTGAAGGGTGGTTGTGGGTGGCTCTGAGGGCTTCAGCATCTTTGTCACTAAGACTTCACCCCACGCCAGGGCCTTTCTCTCCTACCACCAGCTGGCTTCTTTGAGTACTCTTAGTTTCCCGTCCTCTTGGCCCTTGGCTTCAGCTTACCAGATTTCTTAGCGGATCAAAACCCCTCTGGCCCCAGTTCAACTTTGTGGCATTTCTTGCAGCATTCTTTCAGTTTCTAAGTGATCAATTCTAGGTCACATTCTTGAGAGAAGCTTGATCTGATTTTTTGTGTCGTGACCCCCCGCCGCCCCGGGGCAGGGGTGCTATAAGAGATTGGTCAGTCAGTGGATTGTCTGCCCCTGGGTGCGATTCCTGATCTTTGTTCTCTTAGCGGGTAGGGTGGTGTTGGGGAAGGAGTGTCAGGGGTAGTAGGACAGAAGACAGCATTGCATTGTATAAAGCAGAGTATCTGCCCTCTTCCTGGGGTAGGGGACTGGGCAGAGGGTCAGGTGGGACAGGCCTCATGACGGAAATGATTTACAAAGCTTAATAGCAGCCCTGGCAAAGGTTGTTCAAGTTCAAGGCAAAGATTGGTCTCTTCATCAAATGTTAGATTTAGTAAGGAGGTATTTTGAGCATCTTATGTTCATACTTATTTCCCTTACTTCACTACTTTCAAAATCGTGAAGTATGCCTTGCCAATTTTATGCATGAATTTACAGAATAACTTGAAATTCAAATTTTGAGCCACCCCAATCTTTTAAAATTAAGCCTGTGTGTGTGTGTGTGTGTGTGTGTGTGTGTGTGTGTGTGTTGGAGTCTCACTGTTACCCAGGCTGGAGTGCAGTTGCACACTCACAGCTATCCCAGTGTCGAACTGCTGGGCTCCGGCAATCCTTCCTCCTCAGCTTTCCAAGTAGCCGGATGCCCAGCTAATTTTTTTATTTATTGTAGAGACGAGGTCTTGCAAAGTTCCCCGGGCTGGTCTTGAACCCATGGGCTCAGGCAATCTCCTTGCCTCGGCCTCCCAAAGTGCTGGAATTACAGGCTGAGCCATGGAGCCCGACCAAAATTAAGCCATTTAAACAGCTTTTGTTTTGAGGCAACAGTTAATTTTCTTTTCTTTCTTTTTCTTTTTTTTCTTTTTGGCCGCATGAGCTCCAGGAAATTTTCTCTTGAATTGTTAGAAAATATTTTTAAATCTGAAAATGAAATATGCTACCCCTTTTCTTCCAAAACTAGACTGCTTGTTAATTTGTTAGTGGCTTTTGTGTAGTGTCATTTGCTCCTTCTTCTGTCTATAATTGTGTGGTATAAAATTCTCACTATTTGCTTTATTTTTTTCTCCTTGAGGAAAAACAAACAACTCTAACTAATAGATTTAATCTGAAAATATTCTTTTCAGTTCACCATTCAGAGTGAGGAAGGAGGTATACAGAATAGAACTGTAGCTTCCACTGACATTTGTGAGCATGTCAAAAAGTGAATGTGTCAGTCATCAAAGTGCGTGAGTTGTCAAGAATGGCTGGCAGTGGTGGGTATTCGGTCGTGGGAGGTGAGTCTGAGGCCTGGTTTATATGTGTCCTGTGAGGAGAGAGAGTGGGAGAAACTGTCACTCACTCAATTTAATGCCCTTGTTTATTTGTTTGTTTTAACTAAGAGTTTAGTTGTAATTTAGTATTGCCAGAAGATTGTTTAGTTAAAAAGTGCTAGTATAAATAGGTATGTGGTAGGGATCAAATATGATAATTGCATTTCAGTTGATTTAATGAAAATTTACTATTTGTTTTGAGGTTAATATCATTAAAAAGTTAAAGTTTTCATTAATTTGAATTCAAGAATTGTATTCAAACAAGCAAAATTGAAGTGGAGGTTTTTCAGTAGGCTTTTGCAGTATTGAAGTAGTGTTCTTTTGTTAGATATTAGCCCAGAAACTGAATGTTGCAGCTCTCAGCACGGTGAAGAAATCACCTAGCTCAAACTCTCCCTTTGAGGGTGAGGAATCTGAGACTCTTGAATTACTAAAGCTTACACAGTTAGTGGCAGAGATCTGATTCTTGAGCATAGTGTTCTTTTTATCATACCACGCTTCTCCCTTGCCCCAGTGATGTGTACCTGAAACATTTTATGAAGATTCTTGTCCATGAAAATGTCTTTAAATCTTCAAGTCTCAACAAGAAACATTTCCTAGGGCTACTTTGCCTGGCTTGTGGGGAGGAGAAATGAATCAGCGAAGGACAGTCCAACTGATTGTGTCTTAGAGGATTTGTGGTCTCACAGAGTTATAAGATCCCACAGATTAGAAATTTAGAATGGGAAATATAATTCTGGGTTGCTTGGGCTGGAGTGTTTCATTTCAGTATTTCTGTATGACACAAATTTCAGCACAGACCCCTACCCCATGTTAGTGGATCCTTAATAAAGGATTCAAAGGAAAAATGAGGGAGGTGAGAGAATGCATAGTGTAGGAGGGCAGCGTGGGAGGGAATTGGGTTGGGTGTTCTTACAGAGAGTGGAGTGAGAATGGCGGAATGCGAGAGTCCACCTTCTCGACCCATCTCAGTGGTGAGAGCTGAAGGTGAAGCAGTGACTTGGTTTCTGGTCTTTTCTCTGCTGAGGACAGTTGTCCTTTTGACCAGTTGGAAGACACGATAGAAGCAGCTCTACCAGTTTCTCTCCATCAGAAGTCATAATCTTGTCCGGTGCCGTTTCTCCCTGGGCTCTCCATTCCTGTAACATGAGGTTCCCTCACTCTTTCTTCTTTTCACCCAGCACTCATCCCAGTTTCCTTGTTCTTCCAGACAGCTTCAGCATTTCTGTCCCCTCAGTAGACACATCCTTTAGATTGCGCCTTCAAGTCACACATTTGTCCCTGTCTCTCCCAGCCACCACCATTGTTGTAGTGTAAGTCCTCATCCCTTTGGAGGGAGAGACCAGGGGTTACTTGTTCATGTGCACATACCTTTTATCCCTTTAAGTCATGCTACATTCTTCTGCCAGCACTTTCTATTTTGTCAGTCCTCTGTGAGGATTTCCTGTCATCTGTTCTCTTACTTCTCAACCCCTGTGCTTTTTCTTCAAGGCCCGTCATGATCGGGTCCCACTCTGCCTGTTTAATCTTATTTCATAATTATGCACACTTCCCAACACGAGCCTTCAACTCTGTTTCTGTGCGGTCCCTTTTTGTCTGGACACAGAATCTTTTCCTGCCCCTTTTCTTTTTTCTTTTCCCTCCATACTTCTTTCCTCAGATGTTTTATTTGCCCTTTGCCATCTGCCTCTCAGATCTTCGTCTTCTTGTCCTTTCCCGCCGCACTGATGCCTCTGAAGCTGCCATTCATGTTTGTCTCCCTTCCCTCTGACACGTTCTTAATGCTGTAGGCAGCATTAAGCACTTCCACTTTCAGTTGGAGCTTCTTTTGTTCTCGGAGGTTCCTGAGTGTTTCTCCCCATCTATTTTGTATTCCTCCAGGGCTGTGACTTATGACTTAGTGTGTCTTTCTCTTGTTCCCTCACG